AAATAACAGTAACTGTTTCGATGCTGGCAGTTGCCCGAGCCGTTGGACCGTTTTGCGCGTCACAAGGCACCCTACGTTCGATGATGCTCTTGTCTCATCGGATACTGCATCATTGCAGAGCATCCATTTTGGTCTACATAATCATGCATGAACATGCAAGCACCAGCCACGATGGGGATGAGACAAACTCACAAGAAGGGAAGAAGCTGCGTAGCCTCCCGAATCATGCCCGCGCAGGTCCCGTTGTGCGGGGGGACGATGGTGCACCGCCACACCTGGGGAGAAGTGTGGGACCCTGGATCCCACAGACTAATCAAAGGGCCTTAACAAAAAGAACAGGGTTTTGGTGGGTTAGTGTGATCCGCCGAGGCCTCGGGCCGGAGGTGTATAGGTTGTCAGAACAGGCTCCTCCCCCGAAGCCCTTTTTTGGGACCCCTTTTTTTTGGCCTCAAATGGGTACCCCCCCTGGGAAACCGGGGTCCGCAAGCGGACGCTTCGCCAGGACCAGAGGCAGTTGAAGCCCCTCCCAGCAGGGCACCCCCACCCCCCCCCCGTCCCACCCCCCCCCCGTCCACCCCCCCCCCCCACCCCCCCCCCCCCCACGCCCCCCCCCCCACCCCCCCCCCCCCACACCCCCCCCCCCCCTTACCCCCCCCTCCCCCCCCCCCCCCCCCTCCCCCCACCCCACCTCCCCCACCCCACCTCCCCCCCCTCCACCCTGCCGAAGAGTCGCCCCTACGATCACTCCAAGCCGAACCCTAAACCCAAAAAAACCCTCAACCCCAAAGCGTGAACCTTGAGCCCTAAACTAACCCTCAACCCCAAACCCCAAACCATAAACCATAAACCCGGAACCCTCAACCCTCAACCCTCAACCCTCAACCCTCAACCCAACCCTTATTGCTTGGGGTCCAGCGACTTGGGCGCTGCGGAATCACCATGCTCACGCGGATGCGCTGGGCCGGGCCGAGGCGGGTCGCGTAGCGTTAAAATTAGTCACTAGACTACCCTCACAAAAGCCCCAAGGATAATTGTAAAAGGAGACCCGCCATCCACCAACCCCCATATCGCGCGAGAGCTGCAATCCCGCATGCCAATAGACGGCCCACAAAGCCCGAAGTAAAATAGGGGCTTCCCTAAACCCCAAACCCCAAACCCCAAACCCCAAACCCCAAACCCTAAACCCTAAACCCTAAACCCTAAGAAGCTTAGGATGGCTCCAGAGGCCCCTCTCCTCGCCTCGACGTCCTGGCAAAGTGCCCTCGCAGCCTCGCCCACGCCAAGGAGGTAGGCCGCGAAGACACCTGGCATCGGGCAAGAGGAGGAGGGCAGGAGAAGGCCAAAGAGGGTTTAGGGTTTAGGGTTTAGGATTTAGGGTTTAGGGTTCAGGGTTTAGGTAAACCCTAAACCCTAAACCCTAAACCCTAAACCCTAAACCCTACGAGACAGGCGATGTCAAGGTCCAACCACGCAGAACCGGTGCCAGAGTGTGCCAGAGATGGCTCATTGTGGTTTTGGGTTTAGGGTTTAGGGTTTAGGGCTTAGGGTTTAGGGTTTAGGGTTTAGGGTTTAGGGTTTAGGGCTCAGCGCTTGACTCCCCCAAGGCCAATAGACGCAAAGGACGCCCTCAACCCCCAAAACCCTTGAACCCCAAAGCCCACCCTAAACCCTAAACCCTAAACACCCTAAACCCTAAACCCTAGAGTCAACAGGCCGCCAAGAAGGCCAGGGCGGCCTTCTGCGGAGTCGCAGGTGCCGCACTGCTCGTAGCAATCGGCGAACAGGGTCGACACCGTCTCGGCGTTTGGGGGTTCAGGGCTTCGGGTGGAAGGTTGTAGGGTTTAGGGTTTAGGGTTTACGGTTCAGGGTTCAGGGTTCAGGGTTCAGGGTTCAGGGTGTGGGCTTTGGGGGTTTGGGGTTCGGGGTGTGGGGTTAGGGTTCAGGGGTTCGGGTTTAGGGCTTTGGTATTGCGGGTAGTTCTCTAAAGTAGGATCCCTGCTACGTCCCCCTTTCTTTGAAGGCCCCGCAACAATTGAGGATCGCTGGCGGCTTTGCGCCTGCTGCACCCCTAAACCCTAAACCCAAAACCGCAAAACCCCCGGAATGCCAAAGGCCCTTGACCCTTGAAACCTGAACCAATGCTGAGACCATGGGGCTCTCAGCAAGACGTTGCTGGTGTTGCAGTAGCCCTTAGAGAGGCTAAACCCTAAACCCTAAACCCTCGGTTCAAGGGGGCTTTCGGGCCTGTAGGGAGGAGGGGGAAGGCGAAGGGAAGATGACAAGGCCGAACTCAGCTGAGACATGGAAGCTTGGAGCTGTACGTAGCATGGTGAGATCCATGTGCCGGGTTCTCTTCGCCCAGAGAGGCGCGCAGTTGCGGGGTTTGGGTTGCAGAAATGCAAAACCAGGTCATCTCAAAGATGCCAGGCTTGCCGAAGTTGTGCACTTAAGCAAAGGTTGGCCCTGCAGAGCCATCTACGACTCCCAAACCCTGTGAACCCTAAGCCCTAAGCCCTACACCCCAATCTGCTTCAGAAACCCAGACCACGCACCCTGGAGTCGAGATCGCAAAGGGTCCATACTTCTTTAGGGCTTAGGGCTTGGGGCTTAGGGCTTAGGGCTTAGGGCTTAGGGTTTAGGGTTTAGGGTTTAGGGTTTAGGGTTTAGGGTTTAGGGTTTAGGGTTTAGGGTTTAGGGTTTAGGGCTTCAGCCAAACACGCAGGCAGCCAGCACCGCATCTCAGGGTGTCGGGTTTGGGGGTTTGGGGCAGCCAGTGCCAGGAAACTCTCCATCCTAGACGACCTGCAGCCCAGGCACAGAAGCAGCAGTCAGTCCTCCGATAGGGTTTAGGGTTTAGGGTTTAGGGTTTTTAGGGTTTTTAGGGTTTAGGGCCTAGGGCCTAGGGCCTAGGGCTTAGGGCTTAGGGCTTAGGGGTTTAGGCTTTGGGGTTTGGGGTTTAGGGTTTAGGGTTTAGGGTTTGGGGTTTGGGGTTTAGGGTTCAGGGCTACTTGCAAAGCCAGTGACTTCGAGGGGGCTTGGACTCGAGCTTGTCGATTTGTGATTCTTGCTCCAGCGGACACGGGGGTTTAGGCGCTTTAGGGTTTAGGGTTTAGGGTTTAGGGTTTAGGGTTTAGGGCTTTGGGTTTAGGGTTAGAGGGACGATGAGTGCTGCCCAGGGTCCGGAGACAAGTAGCAAGCTCTTCAAAACACCTCGCGGCTTCGCGGTCCTAACACCCCCACCGCCAGGCCCTTGCTCATGGAGCTTTGTCTTTTCGTTTTCGTTTACATTCTGGCTCTACGATTCTGTTGTCAACTCTCCTGACTATGTATTCGGAAACTGCTTCTCTTAAGGAAACCAAATATGATAAACAAACCCTGAGCCCCGGATCTCAAACCCTGAAGGTCGGGACGGAGGAATCTGCAAAGCAGATCGAAACAACAGGAGGGACAAGGGGAAAGACCGGAGTTCCGCGAACGACAGAAACGAAAGCAGGAAACATACATGAACGACACCGCCAATATTTCAATGGTGAACAGGAATATTAACAAGAAATAGACCAATGAAATGAGGGGAAACAGGCAGAGCAAGGAAACCAGCAGAACCAACAGCTGAAGCGGCAGCAATCACCACCACCTTAAGCACCTGCTTTGTTCGGCTCGGAATCTCCACCGCTTTACTAGACCCAAGAGTAACCCAGGAATCGAAAGGTCACCCTTGTGGTTTAACGGGGCGTGTCAGGGAACCTAAACACCCCCCAAACAAAGGGGAAAATAAGGGCCCACTCTCCTAGTTTACGAACTCGCTGGCGTTCGCTCTTGTCTGAAAAACTCCTTAGCCCAACACCCTTCAGGGCGTGAGGTATTCAAGCTATAGCTCTCGGTGGCAAGGTTCAGGCTTCAGTGTATTTGGTGTAGGGTTTAGAGTTTAGGGTTTCGGGTTTAGGGTTTAGGGTTTGGGGTTTGGGGTTTAGGGTATAGGGTTTAGGGTTTAGGGGTTAGGGTTTAAGGCCTAAGGTTTAGGGTTTAGGGTTCAGGGCACAACGGACGGTGAGCTCTTAAAGATGAATGGCTTCGAAGTCACTCCAGGGTTCAGTGCTTAGGCTGGTTGCGTTTGGGGTCTTAGGGTTTGGGGTTCAGGGGGTTCAGTTCGCATATTTCCAGGGCGTTGCACACTAAACCCTAAACCAAAAAAGCGAGAAAAACAAAAAAAAACACCGACATGCCAGGCCACCTCGCATGTTGCAGGAGCTGCAGCACTTGGGAGCGGGGGGGAATTGACGCTCTGCTGGGCCAAAGAAATGCTGCGAAGGGCAAGCTTGGGCTATGGAGGGGCAAGGGCGTAGGGCTTCAGCGGCTTGGCGTTTTCGGGGCTTGGGCATTCGTAGTCGTTCGGCCCTAGCTAGGTCCGAGACATCCGCCGGAAATGCGCAACCAGACCCCTGAACCCGAATTTGATTCGTGAAACTGTCAAACTCTAAGCCCTAAACCCTAAACCCTAAACCCCAAAACCAAATTAAACTCGAAAGCACACTAATCCTCAAATTGCTCAGGGCTTGTGACTCCTGAGAGCCTTCGCCTCCCTCAGTCTCCCATAGGGTTTGGGGTTTGGGGTTTGGGGTCGGGGGTCTGGGGTTTGGGGTTTGGGGTTTAGGGTTTGGGGTTTGGGGTTGAGGGTTGAGGGTTGAGGGTTGAGGGTTGAGGGTTGAGGGTTGAGGGTTGAGGGTTGAGGGTTGAGGGTCTAGGGTTTAGGGTTTAGGGTTTAGGGTTAGGGTTTTGTCCCAAACTCCTGAGCCCGGCCCTAAAGCCCTAAAACTCTAGAACCCTAAGCCCGAAAACGTCAAACCCTGAAACCCTCAACCCTAAAGCCCTGAAACTCTGGAACGCCCTAAAAACTCTGGCACCCTAAACTCTGGAACCCTAATCCCTAAACCCTAACCCTAAACCCTAAACCCTAGACCCTAAACCCTAAACTTGAAGGCCAGAGCCCTGACAAAGACGGCCTGACCGCAATCGCATGACGCCCAAGTGCCGTCCACGCGGACGCACCAAGGCTCGCCTCGCCAAGGGAAGCCAGCAAAGGTCGGGATTGGGTTTTGTGGTTTTGGGGTTTGGGGTTTAGGGTTTAGGGTTTAGGGCTTTTAGGGTTTAAAAGGCTTAAAGGGCCTGGGGGGGTAAAGGGCTTAGGGCATTAAAGGGTCCAGGGTTTAGGGGTTCAGGTTTTACGATGAACTCCGTCGAGTTGCGGGGTGTTGGCTTGCTCTTGGGCTGGGTGGGGGGGGGGCGTTTTATTGGGGGGAGTTCTGAGCCCCTCCCCATACCGGAAAGCTGTTGGGGTTCTCAAGGTTTAGGGTTCCCCCTCCCTGAACCCTGAACCCTAAACCCCTGAGAGAGCGTGCAGAATAAACCCCAAACCCTAAACCCTAAACCCATACTGCCCCGGGTTGTCTAAGGCACCACCATGGACCTCTCCTATAGAAGCCGGAATGAGGCATGGAGGCGAGATGTAGCCGGCATGCCTATTCGAAGGGAAGTTTAGGTTTTAGGGACTAGGGTTTCGGGTTTAGGGTTTAGGGTTTAGGGTTTAGGGTTTAGGGTTTAGGGTTTAGGGTTTAGGGTTGAGGGGAGGATTTAGTTCTTAGAGTTTTGATTTCAGAAAGTTTTAAGCCCTTGCGACGTGGGCATCGGCGAACAATGCGGACTCATGATTGCTACAAAAGCCACCTGCCTGCCAGAGTGAAAACTCACGAATGATGAATAGTTGTTACATAAACCAACCGTAAACCCTAAACCTAAACCCTACACCCTAAACCCTCAGCCTAAACTTAACCCCCCCTAAAGCCTCAATCCCATGCAAGGCGGCGAAGTTCCTACTCTGAACCCGCCCTCTGGGAGGGTAGAGGAGTCCAGAGTCGGGTTTCAGGCGGGTTTAGGTTTAGGGTTTGGGGTTTCGGTTTTAGGGTTTTGGGTTTGGGGTTTGGGGTTTAGGGTTTGGGGTCTGGGGCTTTTCAGGTTTTCATCTGCCTCCAAACTTGTTGGACTCGATGAAGCACCTGTCTTGAGCACTGCAGAACTTACCCTAAGCCCTAAACCCTAAACCCTAAACCCTAAACCCTAAACCCTAAACCCTAGACCCATCCTTCCTAAAATTCCTAACCCCCCGAGCTTAAAGTGTGGTGATCGTCGGGTCTCAAAAAGATATCAGCTCGCCGGTGCCGGGTTTCGGGAGCTAACACCTCTTTGCGACAGGGTTTAGGGTTTAGGGTTTAGGGTTTAGGGTTTAGGGTTTAGGGTTTAGGGTTTAGGCTTTAGGGTTTAAGGTTTAGGGCTTAGGGTTTAGGGTTTAGGGTTTAGGGTTTAGGGTTGAGGGCTTAGGGCTTAGGGTTTAGGGTTTAGGCTGCCAGGATGAAGAAACCATCTTGCTGACTTCTTGCCCCTTAATTCCGCCAGCTTAGATGAAGCATCGTGGGAAACCGAGCTATTCTGCAGGGCTTGGGCTTGCAGGCTTCGGGGCTAGGGTTTAGGGTTTAGGGTTCAGGGTTTAGGGTTTAGGGTTTAGGGTTTAGGGTTTAGGGTTTAGGGTTCAGGGAGAAGGGCTTAGGGTTTAGGATGTTCAGGTGGTCTTCGATCTTGATGGGACGCGACCTCAACCGGCTGAGGGTCTTACGCGAGGTTCACCTAAACCTGAAACCCGACACCCTACCCCCTACATCCAACATCCTAAACCCTAAACCCTAAACCCTAAACCCTAAACCCCCGAAACAGCCCTGAAAGGCTCCCCTGCTCTACTCGATTGCCGAGCTCGGCGCGAATGGTGCCTGGGCACTCCAATGTTTGGAGCTTAGTTGGGTCTTGTTCGCCTACGCCCCAAGCGCCTTTCATGGCTTATATGGGGGTTTGGGGTTTAGGGTTTAGGGTTTAGGGTTTAGGATTCAGGCATCGAAATCAATATCTCAACCTCTACTTCCCAATTCCCTGATCCACAAACCATCAGTTCTTCAAACCCCAAAACCCTAAAACCCTACGCTGATCCTACACCCGCTAACGCACTGGATCCTAAACTGTCTTTGCCAAGTGTCCGACACCCCATCTGCCCCCAAACAAAACTCTGCCTAAACCCCGTGAGCCCGGCACCTCAGTCCGGAACTCTAAACCGAGGGGTTTGGGGTTTAGGGATTTAGGGGATTTATGGTTTAGGACGGTTGAAATTCCAGCTACTCAAGTGGGCCCATGTGTGTCTGCGTGCTGTATGTATCCCCCATTTCCTGCATGGGGCTCAGGGACAACTGTTTGAAACGGCTTCGAAATCTCTGTCATCCACCCAAACCAGTAGGGATTCCCTAAACCCTAAACCCTAAACCCTAAACCCTAAACGTTTAGGGCCTTAAACCCTAAACTCTGAATCTTGCAGGTTTTGTGTCTGGGGCTTGGCGGTCTAGCTCGAACTTCCGGGGCGCATACCAGACTCTAAGCCGTCTCAGACCTTCTGAAACCCCACGACCCCACAACCCCAAGCCCTCCAACCCCGTCAGCCCACAACTCTGCCTAAACTCCAAACTCCACGTCCAAACCCCAAACCTGAAACCCCAAACCCCAAACCCCTTAAACCCTAAACCCTAAACCCTGAACCGACGCTCTAAGCACAAACCCTGTTAAACTCCCCAAACTCCCTGGCCCCCAACTCTCCCAAACTCCCTAAAGTCCATAAGCTCCAACACTAATTCCAAGGGCAGGCTGCATCTCTCCTTGCCACAGAAATGGGAAGTCGCACTTCACCCCCCCGGCCGTGTCCGCGTTGCAGCTGATCGAGGAGTGCGAAGCCTCAGGACCACGTTGCTTAGGGTTTAGGGTTTGGGGTTGGGGATTTCAGGATTAGGGTTTGGAGTTTAGGGTTTAAGGGTTCAAGGTTTAGAGTTTGGGGCTTGGGGTTCAGGGTTGAAGGGCCCTGTAGGGTTCCAGGTTCAGGGACTACAGGGGCTTGCACAGCAGAGTGCGCTCACAGGTGAAGTGGCTTAGGGCTCATAAGGTCTATTCTAGGGCTTGGTGTTTGAGGTTTGCGGTTTACGGAGGGAGCTATATTTGTTTATTTGTTTATTTGCTTATTTGTTTATTGTTTATTTGTTTATTTTTTATTTGTAACATCGTCATGGTCGTGGTTGTCGTCGTGGTGGCCGTCGTGGTGGTCGTCGTGGTGGTAGTAGTAGTAGTAGTGGCAGTAGCTACGTGGCAGTGATAAGAGCAGAGGAGGAGCAAGAGCGTGGGAGGTTCAGGTGCCAAGAGGTACATCCGATAACGCCTAAACCCTAAACCCTAAACCCTAAACCCTAAACCCTAAACCCTAAACCCTAAACCCCCCAATATAAATTCCCAAATAGTAGGATGAGAACCCCAAATAAGGTACCCCTAATATAGGAAACCCCCAGATCTTCAGAGATCAATCCCACGCCTATGGACGGTCCCACAAGCCCTTGCTGGCATCACTCAATCTGGGCTTGACATGTGAGGCCAAGAATCTGCATAGTGTCCGCAGACGGCCCTCGCACGCGGAGAATGCGCGCAACACCAAATCTTCTTCTCCTCAACACAGGGCGATTTCTCGTGCCGGCAGCTATGGGGTATACAAGCGCGGTGCGGAAATTCCGACCGGCGTTCCGGGCAAAACATGTTCCAGCTTAGGGTTTAGGGTTTAGGGTTTAGGGTTAAATGGGTTAAACGGGTCCCTGAAACCTCGGCACTGAACCTGTGATGGACCCTGCACTCGGAACTACGCTCCTCCGGCCACTGCATCCAGTGGTAGAGGCCACGGCCGCAGTCCCAGATTCCCTTTGCTGCAGCAGGGTTTAGGGTTTAGGGTTTGGGGTTTAGGGCTTAAGGTTAAGGGTTTAGGGAGCGCTGCGTGAGGTCGGGTAGTTGCTTGCACTACGCTTTGGCTCCTCACCAGCCAAATGGTCTCGCACTTGTTTTCTGCACTGATGTTCGCCTTCAGTCTCCGTCTCGTGCACCCGGGCGGTTTCCAGTTACGCTATTGCGCTTACTTCCAACCTATGAGTGACCTACACTCTAGGGATTACTTGAGCCAACATGGTGAACAGGCCACGGCGTTCTAAGGTGGTTTCCCCGATGTGCGGCGGAGCCGACACAAAGGGGTTCCCAAAATGTGCTGTGGTTCGGGGATCATTCACACCCCCCACGGCTGGGATTTGCAAAAATGCTAGACGAACTTGCGTCACGAACATACAATGGTCCCAGTTAAAAGCGACTTAAAGTCTGGCCGTTCTCCACTGTTTTGCTCTCTTTGCCCGAATTGATAGATGTGAGACAGACTCTCAGCTACTGAAGCGTTCAATCCCATCCTTTGTCTGTACAAAGACTTGCTGCTCACGGTTGCGGAATCATGGGCGCGAAAGGCCCTGAAAACATGTCAGCAAATTGCTGATCCATCACATTGCGTCTCCAGAATGCATGACTGAAAAGCAGTAGCATCGGCCAAGTTAGCAGAGCATAACCCATACCCACTCGGCTACCACACGAGCTGCGAAGAATCGCACATTTCCCTCCAGCGAGCGCATTGGCACATTGCCCCGCTGCTGCTATGCAGTGGCCAAAAAGAGAAATAGCATCGGTGGATATAATGACGTACTCCATCGTATCATCTGTTGCATCCATAGGGAAAAGAGGAATCAAAACTGAGAACGCAAAATGCTGAGCCACAACCAGATTTCAGGAATACCATGGATTCCAGGGGATGACATACCGGAGGATCCGAGTGCATCATTCACCCTTTCTTTCCCGATCCCTTTCTCGAATGACCGCGAGGATCTTTGGGAGCAGCTTGAGGTGTCCCAGGATGAGAAGTCTTGGGCTTCGGCTGACTCATGCGGGCCTTCGCACGTGCCGGCATGTCCGTCTCGTCTGCTTCAGGATGACGAGATCCTCCCGACGAAGTAACCGAAGGTGCGGATGCTGAAGGGTCATAGGCAAGGTACAAAGCCGACGCCTTTGGATTCTCCAAATACTGTGTGGGCTTCAACTTCAGGATGCTCATGTCCTTCTTTTGATCACTCAACCATCTGTCCAGCTTCTTGCTGTACTGGTTGGGTAAAGCGCACCCCGAATCCCTCATCACCAGAAGGTTGTTAACGCTCACCTTCTGCGAGTCCATCAAACTGAGCAGCTGGATCGGGTTGATGTATTTGAATGCCGCGTGGTACGGGCTCTCAGCGTTGGGTTTCGTGTAGGAGTAAAGCCTCACGTTCAACACCTGATAGATGATTTTGGCCATGAACATGTGGACCCTTTGCCCGGCTTCAGCAAATGCTTTCGGGTCCTCGGCCTCATCCGGAATCATGGGGAGGTTAAAGCTCTCCTTGTTGTACCCCAGCTGGATCGCCCCACGCATGACGTAGAAGACGAACTTGTTGGCGTAATAACGCTCAATCATGAACTGCTGGTTCTCCACAGAGCTGGCATACTGCCTTACCTCGTCTTCCATGAGGTCTCTCGGCAACGCCGTGTCCTCATCGATGGGGACAATTGGCCATGTCCCAGATGCGTCGTGTCTCATGCCTGAGGCGAACTGGTCCTTCATCTTCTTGTATGGAGTCATGATGATCTTCTCGAACAGATTCCATTTATGGACCAACACGTACGCAAAGAAGGCGTCGAGGTGACAGTACAACCTGAAGTTGTGGTCCACGCACGCTGCATAGTCCGTGTCGATGTTGACGTTGCACTCCAGCGCAAGGCGAGCTTTCCTCTCGTTTCGATCGTCCAACGTATCGCCTTCCCTGTCTCCAACCAAAACGAATGCTCGCTGGTTCTGCGCATCCATCTCCACTTCCTCTTGGTTGGGAGTCTCCATCTCCACATCGCGGTACATGTCGCGAATCTCGTCGGGGATCTCCTCGGCCTCAGGTTCCGCCACGCTTTCTCGAGGACTGTTTGCCTCCACATCCCCTGCCGGATTCTGCACCCCGCGGAGCGGAAGCGCATCCTCCTGGACAGGTTCTGAAGTTGGCTCCTCTTCCACGTCAATCTCCACAACTTCGTTGTTGACGACGGCGGCGGCCTGGTTGAGTGCCTGGCGGACCACTTCCGGATCAATCCTTTCGGGTTCCGGATTGGCACGCACATGCTGGATCCTCCCCATGGACAGGAAAACTCTCCCACACGTGAGGCAAATTGCGAAGCTCGCAGGGGTATGCCTGCCGCAGCAGGGGCAAACCCTCAAGATCAGCGGATCGCTTGTGGTGGTGTGAGTCGTCACTCGCCGGAATGTCCTTGAGAGAAACTGGAAAGCACGCTTGATGATGTTTCCAGGAACGGTGTCGCCCGCCTGCTCAATTGCTTGCAAGATCTCGCGCCTCTCGCCTTCATGCGGGCCAGCGTCGGTGCCTTCCATGGTGCTGACGAGGTCTTCCACCGAAGGTTTTGGTGGTTCACGATCTGGATTGATGCGTGCGTCCCCGTACCCTTCGACCATCTCCTTGGACAGCTCTTTGGAGTACACCTTGAAGACTTCGCTGAACTCGAAGTACCTTCCTTGGCTTGGCATGCAGATCCAAACGTGCTTGACGGCCTCGAATGGAATTTGCCGCTGGACGAGAAACATTCCATTGATCGTGATCACTGCGTTGTAGCGCATGAGTTCATAGGCTGGAACGTACAATACTGCAATTGGTGACCTCGGCCTTCCGGGAATCCTTGTCCTCACCGTCTGATTTCTCGGATCCCATGGCGGGAACGTCCCGAAATGGCTTTGGACTCGACCGCCTGACGCCCCTCCACCTGGAAGAAGTCCTTTCGCCACGATGTTGGCGAGAAGCTCTGGGGCCGTGGTGTGATACCCCCCACCAATCTGGTTGACCAAGCTTGTAGTCAAGTGACATGCGACCCTGTCGTCATTCACCCGCACCAGTGAATTGGAGTTGCTGGAGTGTCCACTTGTGGCCCTGATCGCCCACGGCTGCACCCAATTGTCGCACCGGCGAAGGGTACCGGACGTGATGTCATGCGTCAACCTGTGCCCTCCGAGTTCTTCAAGTTGGGCACGCTGGGTTGCGCCGACGCCCGGAGTGCCGTCCCACGGCGTATCAGACGCTCTTTGTCCAGGTTTGGGCGCCACGATCTTGATGCCCAGGAATTGGAGTCTAATTCTCCCATTGGTGCGGTACTCGTAGTACGCGTAGTCGATCAGCATTTGAATTCTTCTCTGATACTCCGAGTTGTCGTCTCGAGCTGAACTCCTTGCGTAATACCTCCCGCTTTGCCAGAAGTTCTCCAAGTGGATGAAGTCTTTGAGCATCACCCATCCTCCGGTGTCGCACGGGATTGTCGGGAGCTGGTTGTGCATGTAGTTCGTCTCTCTGTTTGCTAGGCGGTGCCTAAGCAAACGTTGCACATCATAGCCCAGGGATTTGATCCTGCGATGATAATCCCGATTGCGATGGTTGTCATTGGAGGAAGTCGCGGGAACCAGGGCTGAGAAATGCCTGTGAGCGAATCTTGCACCCTTGATCGGTAGGAGCCGGAGGTCCCCTCCGATGACCAGCTTGCCGATGTTCACGTACCCCACGTTCGAGGAAGGATACTCATCGATGTCGCTTCGGAGAGGGTGTGTTGCAACGTCTCCTCCAACCTCCTGCTCAATCAATCGGCGCGTTGCATCCTGCGATTGTAATCCGATCTCGTAGATGCTCTGCCCGCCGACCCACGATACGTCCTCGATGGACTTGATGATGTCAAGGCAAGACTTCGGCTCGTGGTAGCGAATCTCGACGAATGAACGAGCATTGCCGGCGTTGATCGCAATCCACCGCCTAGGAGCTGGCGCAGCTTTGGGCTCTGGAAGATCAGGTCTCGGTTGGGGCCTGCGTTTGGGTCGAAGCGTTCTTGTCGCAGTTTCTTCTGGTTCTTCATCGACTTCGATCACGACCACTGTAGGATCCTCAACTGAGATTGATGCTTGACGCCGTCTTGGCAGCGGGCCTCTGGAATCCTCCGAAGACGCTGCAGCTCCAGGCTCAACGCTTTCCCCATCCCCACCCGGAGTATCCGAAGCGGTTCCTGGTACTTGCGGAGCGCGAGCGGCATCTCGCAAATTCTTCTCTGCCCATCTCTGGAAGATCTCTGTTGGTGGCGTACTGCTTGACTTGTGCATCTTAGCCAGGCTTTTCCCAATGATGCTGAATGCTTCGTTCACCACCAGAGCGTTGTACCCCCCATTTGCTTCGCAATTTCGGGTGTTGTGGCCATAGTTGCCGCAAGCAAGGCACATGCTGGGTGGTTGCATACCAGCGGTTATGCGTAGGGCATTGAGTGCTCGGACGTAACCTTCACAAGGACGCGATATCTCACCCAGCTCGGTCTCGTTCGGTTCTTGCATGGTGGGGATAGAGCTTGCCTCGGGCACGCCCATATCATCATCTTCCTGCCCCTCAGGTTCCACGCCGGAGGATCCGAGCGCTTCCCCTTCATGGGCTTGATCTTCACCTTCTGGTTCTCCACCACGAGGTTCTGCACTGGGGACGGGTGCTGCGGAGAACTCTTCAGGTCGTTGATCTTCCGGAGAAAGGGTTCCGAGGACTGGCTCCTCAATTGGCAGGACTCGATCGACAAGGACCGCATGCCATTCTCCTTGGAGTACAGTGTTCTCGTACTCCATGATCTGCTGAATCGTCTCTGCATCATTTGCCCGGGGAGGACGACGTTTTCGATTCTCCACGGCAGTAATTCGCACCGCCTCCGCTGCAGCAAACCGATAGAAAGACCGTTCGATTCCTCGAAGACAAGCGAGATGATCTTCGTACGATCCCCAGGCTTCG